AAAATAGAGAAAAAGAATTAATTTTACACGAACAATAGTAATATTGTTAAACAATTATTATTATACCATAATTTTTATTGATGTAATTTTATAAATAGAATTAAAATGTGTTAAAATGTAATTAAACTATAATATTAATCTTAATCTCAGTTTATAACATTTTATTCAACTTCTTTTATTTTTAAGATAATTTTTATCCAATTATTTCATAAAGTTTAAAATAAATTTCAATTTAGGGAGGAGTGAGAAAGAAGTAATATTTTTCTGACACTTCCAACAGTAAGCCTGATTTCACTCCCATAAGTTACAAATATCAGCTTATCCTTAAGTCCATTTCAATCTAGCCTGATTTCACTATTAGGGGTGTTGAAGGGACAAGAAGGGGGGCAAAGGCCTCTTGGTCTAGTGGTGCTGAATGTGTTCCTGGGTGGCAAAAGAACACGGGTTTGATCTGCTCTCTTGTAATCTGAAAATAGAGATGAGAACAGAATAATACTATACTGTAATCAAGACAAGATATAAAATTGAGAACAAAATGGTTGTTTCTTTGAATTCCATATAATTAACACGAGAGTTGATTTGACTCAAGGATAAACTTCAATGAGGGACCTTAAACCAAATAGAGGTGTGATCTTATAGTGACTAAATCCAGCTTCTAAGAAGAGCTTCTTCCATTGTTTTTCATCCCTTTCTTCTCCATTCACCAAACACATCATCATCACATCAAAATAAAGATTGGCTTCTGTCGTTTCCTGCTTGTCTTTCTCTTCATTGATGACCATGTCTATTGTTATTACTTTCCCTTTGCTTGAAATGACTTCTCTGCATTTCTTCAATACCTTCTCGCACTCTTAATCACTTAATGTGTGCAAAACCAGCTGCCATTTAATCGCCATTTAGATTTTCATCACTCATGTGAACATGTTTTATAAACAAAACCTATGAAGCACAAATATAAGAAGCCATTCAGCTAGTCCTAAATATAAGAGATAGGTAACTAATTTGTAAAATTTAAAAATATTAGTTAAATTAGTTATTTGTAAAAATATATATATTCATCACTCTAATGTATCCATTTAATTTTCATTATTTTCTTGTAGCGGATCATTTTGTTTATCTTAATTTTCATTAATGTATAATATCAATTTGATCAAATCTGCGCACGTTGTTATTTAAATAGTGGAGGAGTTGAAGACAAAATCTGTTGTACTATTGTGCTCCACCAAAATATGTCTTAATTTGATGATTGGATTAATTTAAAAATATATATAATATGCATAATTAACTATATATCAACTGGTTTTATATAGTTTTGTAATAACGTGCTTTGTTCAATAAACTCGAGGAAGAGTATGGATCTTAAAAATAAACATTTAATGAATCCAAGTACCTAAATATTCTAGTAATTAAGAATTATTTTGCGATTAAAATGATTTAAAAATGCAATTAATTTAGTTTTTTAAGTTAAAAAAATATTTCAATATAGTCCATCTCGTGTGTGTGTGTGTGTGTGTGTGTGTGTGTGTGTGTGATGAAGGAACAAAATTAGATGCTTTAGAAAGACATAATCCTAAATTATATTAGTCCACATGTATTAGAATGAAATTTGAAAATGTTGTAGTTTTATAATTTTGCCCCTCACTTAGAAAATACACAATGAAGTAGTTAATAGCTAATAAAATGTTGTAAAAACACAACATTTCTAATAAGGTGGCATGGTTTTTTTTTTTTTTTTAATTGAGGGACTTTACTGCAAAAACACAACCTTCAAATTTCGTTTTGATACATGTGATATAAATTGAAGTCACTGCCTTGGAATTTTCAAATTTTGAAGGTATGCTTACTTTTATATATAACAAACCAAATTAAAATTTCTATAAAATAAAGAGAAAAAGTTACGTAAGCATTTTAAAGAAAATTAAAACAGAGACGTGTAAAATAAAGGACGAAACAATCAGTTTTACCTTTGGGCCAAAGAATTAAAAATCATGTCAAAGAACACAACAATTTTAAATAATATCAGGTAGTTTATGCTCATTCAGCTGTGCTTGAAATTCCAAGATAACAACATAAAAATTAAAAGTAGTACGTGAATGTGTGTATATTGGATTTATTTCTGTTTATATATCCACTTGTATTTTTTTTTTTTTGGGATAATTAATATATAAGTCCTTATAGTTTCAACTGGTTTTTAATCAGGTCCTTATAATTTGTTTTCTTTTTATCAGATCCTTATACTTTCATATATTTTTAATCAAGTCCTTATAATTTTTTTCTTTTTATCAGGTCCTTAATCTTTTACTTTGTTTTTAATTAGGTCCTTCTAGTTTTTATTCTTTATTTTACAAATAATAAAATTTTAAAAATAATAAATTATTGTAACAATCTTATGTTAATATTCTTTTAAATTTTTAGTTAAACAAATATATTATTTATTTTCAATTCAAATTTTTATAATTATAAAATTCAAATTATAATAATAAATTTATCTAAAATTAAAATATGATTATAAATAATTTATATTTAAGTATAATTATTATTCTGATTATTTATTAATTATTAAATGATTATATTAATTATTTTGTCCAATTATATAATTATTAATTTAAAAATGAAATTAATTTTAAAGAATAAAGTTAATAAATAATTTTTCAAAAACTACAAAGCACCTAATTAAAAAATAAGTGAAACTATAAGGACCTGATAAAAAGAAAAAAAAAATAGAAGGACCTAATTAAAAACACACGAAAGTAAAAGGATCTGATAAAAAGAAAAAATTTTATAAGGACCTAATTAAAAATCAGATGAAAACTATAAGGATCTGGAGATTAATTATCCTTTTTTTTTTTAATCTCTGTTTGAATGCACCATATATAATAATCAATCAATTTGAACGGAAGAGGAATCATATTAACATTTTAAATTTTTTAAACTAATGAACTTTTTTGTGCGTACGTACCTTAAAAAGAATAGCATCCGCAGAAGGAATACGCTGACACATATCACCTCCTACGAACTTTAGATTGTCACTATCCTTCATTTCTGCAACAACATGAGGAAGATCCATCACTGTGCACTTCAAATCCGGCAATTCCTCACAAATGGCCGTGGCTGCCCCACCCTTTCCTCCTCCAACATCAACCAAAGACTTCAAACCCCAAAACACTGACTTAAACTTCTTCATCACAAAGTTCATCATCGTCCCAGAATCACTAATCATACCTTCATTGAACACTCTGCTAAATTCACGATTCTCACTTCCATATCTCCAAAGTTCCACCCCGAAGGCACTTTGGAAAGCTGTATTGTCTTCTTCTTTATAAAGCCAATGTCCCAGGAACTGATCTGGGCTCATCACTGCAGGATGAAACACTGCTTGAGCATAAGCAAACATGGAGGGAATCTTATCTTTAAGAAGCAGCCTAGAACAAGGTGTGAGCTCATAACCCTATTCTTCTTCTTCATCATTATCATCTTCTTTGGGGATTTTGGTTGAAGTGAAGATTCCAGAGTGAACCAGCAAGCGCATGAGCCTGTGGACATGGCTGGACCTTGAAGGGTTGATTTTTAGGGCTGAGAATAACTGAGGAAGAGTGATGGGTTTGCCATGGTTGAAGATTGTGTCTGGTGTGCCAATCTGGATAGCACTTTTGAGGCACATAGATATTTCAAAAATGAATATTTGTTTGAACAAATCTGCTTGAGCTTCAAATAACTCTACTTCTCCTTGGATCTGCTCTTGTTTGCCTTCCATTTTCTTGCAGATATTTTCACTTTTTGCGGATAAATTGTGTGTTTGTGTTCTTGCTACTCGGTTTCCGTTTATAGTGGAAAAATGGGTCAATAACTTGGGAGAAAAATTCAGAAGTTTTGAATTATTGTGTGAGTAAGATATCACCATTATACCTTTGCTTTTTTACAAAGCACGTCATAATTAATATAATATTTCAGGATTAGGATTTGTGTTTTTTGTGCCAGAGATTATTCTTAGTTGGTAACTGATAGATTTTGTAGTAATATTTTATTTTCTCCGTGGAACACATTGTAGTGATGTTTGTCTGTTCCGATTCTTAAATTGTCGCCTGGTTGATTACTTTTCATTGCCATTTCTTTTTAACAGAATCTTTACGGGTCAATTTGAAAGGTTATGTGTTTATTAAAATAAGATTATTTTATTGGCTAAATTAATATTCATCCAGCATCCCAATCTTTTTTATGGGCATCCAGCACCCTGAACTTATTTTTTATGCATCCAGTATTATAATATTATTTTTAGTGTATTCAGCACCCTACATATTAGAGTGTTGGATATAACTAAAAATAATATCAAGATACTGGATGCACAAAATTTAACAGCACCCTACAAAAAGTCTTTCTTACTTTACGAGGTGTCCACTTCCATGAGTCACGATGTGGTCATGCTCAAGTTTAAAACATTTGATTCCAAAAATTTACATGAATATAGGGTTTGTTTGGAATGGCTATTAAAGCCTTCAAAAATAGTTTTTCAATTATGATTTACAGTATACAAAATAAATATATGAAAGGAGTTTTATCTCAATTTATATAAATATGCTTATAATAAGCAACTCCAAGCCTCTAAACAAGCATTATATCTTATCTTTTTTAGAAATGGGAGCATATCTAAGTGCAACTACTCTTCTAATGTTCATAATAACTATGTTATGCTATACTAATTAATAACTACTTTTTTCAATGGATACCGAGGTTTCAACAACTTACTCATAACCTCACTTTCCCTTATATAGATCAGTATCTTTTCAACTTCCTTATTATGATCGACTTATATGTAATTAGTCCATAAAATAACGGTACGTGCTTGTCTCATAAAAATATTGAAAATAATTAAAAGAACCGGACCAAATCTTGTTCACTCAATTACTAACTAATATCTCAGATCACCAATATCAGTAATGCGCTAGCCTATGCATGGCTAACTATTACTTATTACAGAAGTATGTAGAAGAAATCATACAATTTTAAAAGACTAAATTTCGTCTGAGAAATTTCAAAGCAGGTAATGATTTGACATACGCTTCAATGATTGACCTAAAACCAAAATGAGGAGTAATCTTGTGATGTTTGAAGCCTGCAGAGACAAGAAGTTTGTTCCATTCTTTCTCAGTTCTCTCTTTTCCATTGAGAGTACTCATCATCGTCATGTCAAACAAGAGTTTCACTTGTGCCATGTCACTGTGATCTTCCTTTTCCTTTATCACTACGTCAATGATTATCACTTTTCCTCCTCCTTCAGCTTTCTTTGAAATTGCCTCCTTACATTTTTTCAACATCTTTATGGAGCTTTCATCATCCCAATCATGTAATATCCACTACACAAAATCAGAAACAGATAACGTTACATCCCCCTATTCAATAATTAAATTAAATATTATTCAATACTATCTCCGATCCTCAATATAAGAATTAGTTGACTAATTTGAGTAGATTAAGAAAATTAACTAAATTAGTCATTTGTAATAAATAGGTATTGTCTTCCCTAAAATACCCTTACTAATCATGTATATTAGCTAGAACTACTATTTAATGAAACTTTTAACATGTGCAACTGTTACAACAACTACCTTGAAAAAATATGAATAAATATGAGAGATAGTAGATTGGAATCTTATATTTAGAATCAAGTTAAACGTCAAACTAGTTCTTATATTAAAGATCGGGGATAGTATATCATTATTAATATGAAATATAAAACCTATAGCAATTATATATACATGAGTATATAAATATAAGAAGCAAATTTATTAAGGGTCTGATTTGCATAACTTTACACCTATGTGTGGTCTGATTTGATCGGTTTGATTTAGATTGCCTGGGACTCAATATATCTTTTGAAAATGGGTTGGTATAAAAAGAGAATTTAAGAAACTAGTTAGTAAAATTTTACTGCTATGTGGTCTTATCTGAATGATTCATTGGGAGCCAATTTATTTTTGGAAATAGGTTAATTTTAAAAAGAAAGACAAGTTAAGAAAATAACTGGCCTTCAATAGAACACCATCAGTAGAAGTGATGGATTCAAACATGCTGCCACCAACATAACTCAAGTTATTGCTTCCTGGACAGTTTTCAACAACTTGTGAAAGATCAAACACTATACATTTCAGATTAGGATATGTCTCGGAGATGATCCTACAAGTGGTTCCTGCGCGACCTCCAACATCAACTAGGTTTTCAAGTCCGTTGAAGATTGACTTGCAATCTCTAAGTGCCATGTTCATTATCTGTGAGTTACTAGCCATTCCCTAGTTGAAAGACTTCATCTATTAATGATCATGTTCGAGCAGATCCCAAAAACCTAACCCAAAGGCGCTCTCAGCTATCGTCTTCTCCCCCCCTTTGAACCATCTTCCCAAGAAATCAAATGAAGCCATAAAACCAGTGTCAACAAACCCCAACACCATTGGTGCTGGTTAGGTTCCAAGCCTTTGACCAGTAGTTTAGAAGATGGAGTGAGAGAATATGCCTCCTTTTCTTCTTCCTCGCTCACCTTGGCTTCTACTAAGAAACCATTGTACACCAGTGAGCGAACAAGCCTCTCAATAAAGGTAGTTTTGGTTGGATGAACTTCAAGTTTGGAGGCCAATTGAGGAATAGTAATGGGCTGGTCATGGCTGTGGATTATGTCTGGATGTCTTAGTTGAACAGCACAGTTAAGAACTGTGCCATTAATGCCACTAAAGACATGTTTATACAAGTGAGCTTGAGCTTCAAAGAACTCACTCGTTGGGTTGGCTTCAATTGAACCCATAACTATATAATGTTTTTTTTTTCACGTAGTAGCTTTTCTAAATATGTATGCTCAGCTAGGAGTTTGCGCTTGAAATAACTTACTTGGATGTTGTTTCAATAACGTAGAGAGCACCCTTATATAGAGCAAATTGACCAAGAAAATTCAAATAAGTAATCAAGAAAGTTAGGCGTTTATGGAATTTATTTCCTGCTTGGTCCATCACTTTTAATTTGTTTGTTAGTATTTTTTTTCTTGACAGCTTTAATTTGCTGCACATTCTTGACTCCTAGTTTCTATGTCCCCACTAGGAGGCTCTTAAGAGTAAGACACTACCAAAAAAAAAAAGGTCATTGATGATGCTCTTGTGTCAAAGCACTCAATTAAACTAGGTCCTAATTAATTTGTAGCTTAGGATTGACCTAGGTCATTACTTCCAAGGAGCAAGTTATGGGTTTCTTTAGGTAAAAATTTAGGTGATGAAAAATGTAATAAAATGGACCTAAACTAAAATGCAAAATTCTAATTCTAAATGAAAGATGCAAATGTCCTAAAATCTATATGAAAATTAAAGTAAACTAAATGAATGCAAATGTAATTTTTGGGGGGGTTTTTTTAGAAGGAAAATAAAAATGATGAATAAAGAAAATTAACTAGAAAGCAAAGAAAATTGAGAAGTAAAAATTGAGAAGTTCTTCAGTAAAGTAGAGGGGACAACTTAGGATTCGCATGGATTTGACCTTCATAACCTTAATCAGTTAATTAGACCAAAGGGAAGTGATAAGAGAGTAGAATTAATAAATTTAACTACCTATTTGAAACAAAGGGAACCCTCAATTTCAAAAAGCCTTAAACTATTAGAGAACTCATAACAGTATAAGGTTGGTTAATTAAGCTTATTAAAACCAATGAAAATAATTAATTCTAGAAATTATTTTTGAAATTATCCAATTAAACAATCAGATAATCAACCAACTTAATTAAACAATTAAGAGGTAAAAGAACCCAAATTTTGCAATTAAAACCACACTGATAATTAAACTCATAATGAAAACTCAATTATAAATTCAATTAACAATGCAAAGGCTCTAAACATAAATTCCAACAAGTGTCTCAATACAAACAAAATCCAAATATCAATCCAATCCAAGAATAAAAGTGACAATCTAGAACTAAATTGTCTCACAAAAATACAACTTAAAATTATTTAAAACTAAATAATCTCAAGTCCTTGAATTAAAAAGATAAATGGAATATCACTCCCTTGTGGTCTTTAAGTGCTAGTCCAAGGCTCAAGTCTCCTCCATGCTCCTCCCAAGTTGCCTCCCTAACAAGCTTAAGCCTCCATGAAAATTATCTTCCCTCCAAAATCATTAGATGCTGCACCATGAGGAGTAAAGAAGAGAAGATGATTATTATGTGGAATGTACGTGGATTAAGAAAGAAGAGGATGTGAATTAATGATGGTGAAAGAGGATGGTGATTTTTTTGAATATAGGACGAAGGAAAATAGGGTGCAAGGCGTCAGATTGGAGGGATTTTGTTTCGGAAGTCAAGGACTTGTTGCTCCCCTTGTGACCGTGGAATCTAGCAAATATATGAGGGGATATATGGATATATGGGAGAAAAGGAAATTTTTATGAATCCAAAGCTCAAGCCCATTAGTAATTAATTGACCCACTTAATATTAGTCATTGGATTGTGCTTAAACTCCAAGAAACAATCTTGCACCATTGGATTTCCCATATGCTCTTTCTTGATCTACAAGAATTTAAGTGCATCCATTAATGTAGATTATATCCAAATATAATCTCTATCAAAATTAAATATTAGATATGCACAAAAATTAGGCAAGAAATTGCAAAACTTTCTAAAAATAATCTTTCTAAAAATATGAGACTTGTTTCCAAAGAAATAAGAAAAATTAATTCCAAGTCAAAAATAGGAAATCACAAAATATCTATATTTTTAATTCAAAATCTCAATTTTTATGCAAAATCCAAAAATCAACCAATTTATCCAATTATGCATAAAAATCCAATTAAGCTCAAAATCATCATTTAAATCCTAAATTAATGTGGGATAAAATGTATAAAAATTGGGCTTTATCAAATTCCCCCACACTTAGCTCTTGCACTCCTGGGCAAATTAAATGAAGACCAAAGAGCAGTAAGAAAAACAAAAGAAAATCAAACAAAGGTGAATGTTCCAATCACAAGTAAAAAGCAAGTCAAAGCAATTAACATCTTTCTTATCCAAGTAATCTTCTCATGAAGTAGGAAAACAAACATCATGACAATTTACTTGACAAAAGGAAATCTAAGGGGGTGTTTGGATGAAACCAAACTATGGTTTGGGGAATAGCTTCTGGAGAATAGATTCTGAAAAAAATAGATTTTGTGAAAAAGTGATTCTGAAAAGTGAGAGTGTTTGGATAGTTGTTATCAGAAGCACTTTTTATATGTACAAATTATTAAAAAAAAAGCATAAGTTAATATGATAATTACATAAAATATAGATTGTATGATATATTTTAATTTGAAGAAATAAAATTGTTAATAATATATTTTTTACCAACATAATTAATAATACATAAGATAATGTAATTAATAAATAATTAATATGTGTATATTTATTTATAAGATATAAGATTAAATATGCTTATAAAAAATTAATTAAGGGGTGTTAAAGTCATATTATTGTTGAGATTTACTCTAATAGGCACAATCATACTCTCCAATTTAAACCAGAAGCAGAATGAATTCACTTCTCCCAAAACCATGGTTTTGGGTTCCAAAACCATGGTTTCGACCCAAACCATGGTTTCAGATAATTTGTGCCTGTTTGGGTTGGTTTTTTCCCAAACCATGGTTTGGGTCTCCAAACCATGATTTGGCCTACTATCCAAACAGGCCCTAAGTCAGAAATCCCTCACCAAGGTTAATGTGTATGTCACTCATCACTCAAAAGTGTATCGTTTGTGTTTGCACTCAAAATCATCTATCTAGTCCTCTTTCCATAGGCTTGACAAGAATCTAAATTCTTCACCAATCATAAAGCAATTACAAGCATAAATCAACAGGACTTTTATTAGGTTGTAATGGGGCTAAGGTAAAAAAAGAAAGGATATAGTGTTTGGGAAAATAAAGTTGAACATCTTAGGAAATGAAGAGAGTCAATAAAAAAAAAATAATGGAATGTAAGAAACTACATTAAACTTGAATTGGGTCATTCTTCTTCTTTTTTTTTTCTTTTTTTTCAAGCACTTTTTTTTTTAACTTTCTTAGGCCGTTATGTATATGTTCTTTTGACGCGAACCTTCATATTGGTGATACAAAGGCCTGGTTACTCAAGCATAGATAACTCCTTGGTACTAAGATGCTACTAGCACGCTCATAGCCCTTACTGGCCGTTTGACGCGAAGATCGACATTGGTGATGAAGATCCCCGGTTACTAAGCATAGCTTAAACTAAAGGAGGAATTTATTATAGTATTTTTTTCTTTTTTTTCTTTCTTCAAATTGACCCAAACCATAACTCCAAATGTGTTCCTCCATCCCAAGCACATATAATATAGTACTCTTCAACTCCTAAGACATTCAAAAAGGGTAATATTTTTTTTTATGGGTTAAGAGGGAAAAAAATATGAAGGCTCAAAGGGGTTAAGCAAAGGATAAATGCATGAAAATGGTAGGGTTTTGGCTTATCTGGATAGAATAATTGAAATGAATACCTTTATCATCTTTATGAATGCAAATGCACAAATGTGGTCTCAAACAAGATTCAAGTCAAGTTCTAGATGAAGGAAAGAGATAGGAGGTATACACACATGATAAGAAGAAATGCATTAGGCTCAAAACCTCACTAGGTACATGATTACTACCTTAAATTCCCTAAGTCAAATCCATTGCTACTTAGTTCATCCACTCAAGACATGATCAATCACTTTTCAAATCAAGAATGCATCATACTTAATCACTTTAAACTTGCAATCTTCACATTCGAAACAAAATGAAACAAAACATTTTTTTTAAGAGGAACTAAAACAAAAGTAAAAACACACCAAAAAAGAAAAGAAAAGAAACTAAAAGAATGAAATCCAAGAAAAAAAAAACTAAAAGAATGAAATCCTTCCCCCACACTTAAACAATGCATTGTCCTTAATGCAGAACACATAGGCAAGTCACAAAGCAAGTAGTATCCAGCATAGTCCAACTCAATAATATGACAATGCAAAGAAAAAAGAGTGAAGGGAAGGAATACAACCAAGGCTACATGGCGTCTCGTAGTGTGATAACCTCTACATCTTGGGTAGAGAACCCCTCGTAGTAAGGCTTCAAGTGATGACCATTGACTGTGAAGCATCTTCCAGTTGGCTCTCTCTTAATCTCTATAGCTCCATAGGGAAAAACATTAGTGACAATGAAAGGTCCCTCCCATCTAGAACGGAGCTTACCAGGCATGAGTTTAAGTCTAGAGACATAAAGTAGAACTTTTAGTCACGTGAAACTCCCTTCTCAAGATGAGCTTATCATGGATAGCCTTAGTTCTTTCCTTATAGATCCGAGCATTCTCATATGCTTCTCTCCTAAGCTCTTCAAGTTCTTGCAATTGTAACTTTCTTTCAACACCAGCACTAGCAAGATCCAGGCTGCAGCTTTTAATGGCCTAATATGCCTTGTGCTCCACCTCTACTGGCAGATGACAAGCCTTACCAAAGACAATCCAATATAGAGACATGCCAATTGGGCTTTTATATGCTGTACGATATGCCCAGAGTGCATCATCCAGCCTCTTGCTCCAATCCTTTCTGTTAGGTTGCACTGTCTTTTCAAGAATGAGCTTAATTTCTCTGTTTGAGAGTTCCGCTTGACCGTTTGTCTGAGGGTGGTATGGAGTAGCCACCTTATGCATCACACCATACTTGCTAAGTAAACTCTGCATACTTCGATTGCAAAAATGAGTACCTTGATCGCTAATGATAGCTCTTGGGATTCCGAACCTGCAGAAAATGTGTGATC